TTTTTTTTTTTTTTTTTTTTTTTTTTTGTAAAGTGAGTTTTTACTACTGATTTTCAAGTTCTGGTGACATCGTCCGATGCCCTGTCGAATGAGTGTCTCATCTACTAAGAGGCATTGAGTCTTCTCTCGCCACTTTCCTTCCCCAAGCGGTCAATGCTCAGGCCAAGGTGAGGGAGGAGAATCCCCTAGAGAGGGAGGAACGTGCAGACTGTCTCGGAGAAGGAACGTGCTGGTCTAAGAAGGCAGCCTTTCAGGATGAAGTCTTGTGCACTTTTTAAACGTCAGTCGGCATCGTACTGAGCACACTGAAGGGTAGCGCTTGAGCTGAAAGGCAGCAAAGAGACAGGCTGGAGGGACTGTGAGAGATGACGAGAAAGTTACGGGCTCGCCGAAGTCTTAAATTTTAAGAGATTCTGACGTTAGAATAGACTTGTCACCAAAAGCAGAGTAGAAGCTGTTTTGCTTCTTCCGTCATCAGAGTAGAAACCATCACCAGAAGTTTGAAATTGTACTGGGAAACAACCAAGAAGCAACAACTGCTTGGTCAAATGGACAGAATGATCTCTGCTTTGAATTTTGGGAAAATGTAAGTTATGCCCTCTGCTAATCCTAATTCCTATAGAGGATTAATTTGGAAGGCTTATGGGGACCTTTTCTGTATTGTTCCTGGGGTGCCAAAAAGTCTGCCACTGAAAGAATGTTTTCTTTTGAATGAACTTTTCAAAATTTGAGAACAGTCTAAAAAAACTCAGTGTTTCCATATACCCCCACATGCAATTTCCACTATTGTTAGTATCTTACGTTAGTATGGTGCACTTTCCTCAGATTTTTCCCATTCTTAAGGTCCTCTTCTATTCCACAATCCCATCTAAGATACCACATTGCATTTAGTGGTCCTGTCTCCTTGTGGCACCTCTCAGCTGTGGCAGTTTTCTGTGGCAGTTGGGCCCTTTGCTCTTTTGACCTGTGGGAATGCAGCACATAACTTAGGGTGTATTGTTTTTATTTTGATGAAACAAAATAGAATCCTATTCAGCATTAGGATTAACAGCAAAATATCTTTCTCTGCTTTTGGTGAGAATCCTACACTAAAGTCAGAATCTGTTTTAAAATTTAACACTTCTGGTGTTGTCTATTACCTGGACAGATTTGAGGGGTACTGGTCAAGTATTTTGTAAACTATCCCTCAAATTTCTCTGATATTTGCCTCATGTCTAGAATGTAATTAAGGGACTTTTGGAGGAAGATCACAGAGGCAAGGTGATATTTTCACCCTGTCATATCCAGGAAATATACTGTAAATATGAATCACTGTTTATGTTAACCGTGGTCTCCTGGGTGAGGTAGTGTTTGCCCATTTTTTCCATAGGTTACCTACTTTTTTGGGTCTCATTTCCAGACTATCTTTTACAAGGAAGTCACTCTGGACAACCCACTTAAGGGAAGAGAATTATGCTTCACTTCTTTGGGGTGGAATAGCTTTACAAATTACTCTGAATTACTGCGCATGGAAGATGTATCTGCTACTAATTTACAGTTATTTTGCTTATTTTTATATCAGCATAGGCTCATAAACATTTATTTTATACATTGGGTGATAATCTAATACTATTTTATTTATTAAATACTTAATTTTTTCCTATAATGACATACTTATTTTCTTCATAGTCCTGCTAAATATAACATATTGCTTCTTGTCCCCAGTCTTGTCTTGTATTATAATTACATGCTTTTTTCCATTCTTTCTCATATTTGTCAATTTTTATATCTTTCTTAGTAGGATGGAAAATTTTTTGTGATTTTTCTGTTAAAATAGAAGATAATATCTATAGATTTACAGGTATTCACTTTTATGTTTAGTAGGTATATTGGTCAGCTTTCATTTATTATAACAAAATACCTGAGATAATCAACTTAAAAGAGGAAATGTTTATAGGCTTATAATTTCAGAGGTTTCGGTCCGTGGTTGGTTGACCCCTTTGCTTTTCAGCCTGTGGGAATGCAGCACATGATGGTGGGGAGCACATGGTAGAACAAACAGAGGTCCTCACTTCATGGCTAGGATGCCAAACAGACGGAGAGGTAGGATCCCCCCAGAGTCTCCTCCGAGAGCATCTCTCAGTGACCAGAACACTTCTACTTCTTAAGAGCTCCATAATTGTCATTAATGCCATAGGCTAGGGCCTTTAACACTTGGGCCTTCATCCAAACCACATTGGTTGAATTATTGTCTATTTTTCCCCACTTCATTGTAAGATATGTATGTATGTATGTTGCCTGAGTAAGTTCACTCTTGATCTAAGGTCCTAATTCACTATTTATACTAATTTTAATTTTTGTCAATACAGTTGATGACTCAACTCTTATCTCAGGCCAGAGAGAATTTCTCAATGTTTGTCCACCAGTGAATGTCCTGTGCTGACCTAAGTACCTGGCTAACAGTTGACATAAATATATACCTGGGGATCACATAGTGTGTATTCCTTTAGGCTACTATAAAAAAAAAAAAAAAACCAGGTAGGTGATAATGAACAGAAATGTATTTCTCACAGTTCTGGAAGCTGGGAAGTCTAGAATCAAGGCATGGGCAGTGTGTGTGTCTGTGATGGTCCACTTCCTAGTTTATTAATGGCTTCTTGCAACATCCTGATGTGGTTGGTAGAAGGGACAGATCAGTTTTGGGGGGCCCTTGTGTAAGGGTGCTAATGTATTCATAAGGGTCTCCTCTCATGATCTAAATACTTTTCAACAGCCCTTTCATTAAATCACCTCTCCATTTCTGGACTATAGCAAGTGGTATGGAGATAGGTAAAAGTAGGGAAACCAAGTGTACATATGTAATTAATGACTACAATGTAAGTTATGAAGCACCAACTGCATGTTCAGCAGGTCAAGCATCAGACTTTCAGGGCTGGCATTTAAAGCTGACATTTCCACAAAACAGAAATGAGTGTTCACTATTGGTTAGTGGGGTCTTCTTGTTTTTGAAGATCCCTCCTCTCTCAGGGCCAAGCAGTTTAGTAGGAGTGACAGCAGTTCTGACACCTGGGTAGTAGCAGCAGTTGTTCTTGAGATCTGAATTGGGATGTAAGTCCGCCTCTTGACATGACTTTATAATCTCTCATAAACTGATGAGGACTTCAGTAGGAGAGAAACATCTTTATCATTCATAAAATCATTTTGTTCTCAATGCAGAGCTGACCCCAAACAGCATCCAGGGGTCAAACCCAAGGAAAATTTCTGCCTATGCACACAATGTTAAAAATAAAGGATAATAATCATTAGTCCCAGTTATCCAACTACCAAAAGGGGTTGTTGGTGGACCTGATAATCATTTCAAGTCTATGACAGAAATGATGTTTTAAAAAAGAAAGAAAAATGCAAAACCTTCAGCCTACACATAACAGTGAGTTCCTTTGGTGCAGAACTCTCCTTATTCTCAAACTTGAGTCCAACAGAGCTGGGAAGGGCTCATTCCCAAGCTTTTCGTTGCACTGGCTTCCACCTAGGATCCCTTCTGGTGGAGAAAGTGTGTTAGACATAGGAAAAAGCTGCTCTCTGCTGAAGTCAAAGACTAGAAATCTATGCACGTCACTCATTACCTAAAGTTACATCTTTTTTCATCCCATACTGACATGGTGACAGCACTGCTGGGTCCATACTTCAGGATACCCCATTGCCATACTTTGCTTTAGAGGAAGATGAGGATGAGGATGAAGATGAAAAGGGAAATTAAAACCTGTATCAGATACAGCATATTTTGGTCAGCACAGAAAAAAAAAAGCTTAAAACTAGGCATTGGTTTCTTAGAACTTGTTTTTATTAACAAGGCTAGAACACAGAAAGACACCCAACAGGATTAATGTTCTGTTACTTTGGAAACAAATGACCACAAACTATACAACCCAAATTTATTATCTTAAAGCGCTTAGGGCCAGACATCTGAAATAGACCTCACTGGGCTAAATTCAAGAGCTGGCAGGCAGCACTCCTTCTGGATGGATGGTACCAGAAGAAGGTGTTTCAAAGGCTTGTCCCGATTTTAGAGGCATCTACCATGGCCTTGTCCTTTAGCTCCAGTGATGCCATGATGCCATCTCTCTGGCTCACACTCATCTGCCTCTTTCCAGTCCATGGATGAGGACTCATGGAATTACCCATCTGGGTAATCCAGCATACACATTTCAAGATCAGCTCAATAGCAGCTTTAGTCCATCAACAACCTTAATTCCTGTTGTCTTCGTTACTTTCTTTGCTGCCAAGATGTAGTATGTGACACCTGTAAATTAAAAGAAGTAATATTTG